GCGGAGACACTAAAAGCAAGGGATGTAGTTGTCATGGGCGATTTTAATTACCCGGACATCTGCTGGGAGGAGCAGTCAGCCGGGACGGACCGCTCCAGGAGGTTCTTGGCCGAGTTGCAGGACCTCCACTTGATTCAGGAGGTGCACAGTCCCACCAGAGGAGATGCTCTGCTGGACCTGGTCCTGGCCGCAGGCGACGACCTGGTAAGAGGCCTCCAGGTTCTTGACCACCTGGGCAATAGTGATCATCGCGTGCTGGAATTCACCATCCAGCGTAGAGTGTCAAGGGCCCGCAGCAAGGTGGTGGCCCTAGACTTCAGGAGGGCCAACTTCAGTGAGATGAGGAGATTAGTGGGAGAGGAACTGGGGTCCTTGAGGGCAGAGGAACTCAGCGTCCAAGAGGAGTGGTCGTTCCTTAAGGAAACGATACTCGGGGCCCAAGGGGTGTCCATCCCGACAAGAAGCAAGGCGGGCAGGAGTGTCCAAAAGCCCCCCTGGCTCACCAAGGGTGTCCGGGAATGCCTGCTTGCCAAAAGGGTGGCGTACGCCCGGTGGAAGGGGGGTGTAATCTCCAAAGAGGAGTATACCTCCTCTGCTCGGGCCTGCAGGCGGGCTGTTAGGAAGGCCAAGGCGGAGATAGAGCTCGGATTAGCGTCCAGGATTAAGGATAACAAAAAGTCCTTTTTCAAATATATTGGGAGGATGAAGAAGGCGCCGGGTAATGTGGGGCCCCTGCAGGATATGCGGGGCAATCTGGTGGTTGCGTCAGAGGATAAAGCGGACCTCTTTAACCAATTCTTCACCTCCGTTTTCTTGTGCAGGGACCGGGACTTCCCTGCTGTGATAGAAGCCGGACGCGAGGGGATCGCCTTCAGACCTCAGGTTGGGGAGGACCGGGTTAGAGAGCTTCTGGAGGGGCTGGACGCGTTCAAGTCAGCGGGTCCGGATGCTCTCCACCCCAGGGTGCTGAGGGAGCTGGCTGGGGTTATTGCAGGGCCCCTGGCACGGCTCTACGAGCGATCGTGGTGCTTGGGCCAGGTGCCAGACGATTGGAAGGTAGCTAATGTGGTCCCCATCTTCAAAAAAGGGAAAAGGGAGGACCCGGGCAATTATAGGCCCGTCAGTCTTACCTCAATCCTGGGGAAGCTCTTTGAGAAGATCATCAAGGAGCACATTTGTGATGGGCCGGCATCCGAGATGATGCTCAGGGGCAATCAGCATGGATTTATTAGGGGGAGATCATGTCAGACCAACCTGATTGCCTTTTATGATCAGGTCACAAAGGCCATGGATGCAGGTGTCGCGGTGGATGTAGTCTTTCTGGACTTCAGCAAGGCCTTTGACACCGTCTCTCACCCCATCCTAATTAGTAAACTAGGCGACTGTGGCATAGATGCCTACACGGTCAGATGGATTGCAGATTGGCTGAAGGGTCGCACTCAGAGGGTGGTGGTGGATGGATCATATTCGACTTGGGGGGAGGTGGGTAGTGGAGTCCCTCAGGGCTCGGTCCTGGGCCCTGCGCTGTTCAATGTCTTCATCAGCGATCTTGATGTTGGGGTGGAGAGCAACCTGTTTAAATTCGCTGATGACACCAAAATTTGGGGGGAGGTGAGCACGCTAGCAGGGAGAGAGAGATTGCAGAAGGATCTGGATAGGTTACAGGGGTGGGCAGACAGGAACAGGATGCGTTTCAATACGGACAAGTGCAGGGTGCTGCACTTGGGTAGTAGGAACCAGCAGCACACTTATACGATGGGGAACTCCCTACTTGAGAGCACGGAGGCGGAAAGGGATCTTGGTGTCATTATTGACTCCAAGATGAACATGGGCCGACAATGCGAGGTCATGGTTGGCAGGGCTAACCGGACCTTGTCGTGCATCCACAGGTGCATCTCGAGTAGAGCCAGGGAGGTGATCCTCCCCCTCTATGCGACGCTGGTCAGGCCGCAGCTGGAGTATTGTGTCCAGTTCTGTGCGCCCCATTTCAGGAGGGATGTGGACAACATGGAGAGGGTCCAGAGGAGGGCCACCCGCATGATCCGGGGACAACAGGGCAGACCCTACAGTGAGAGACTGCGGGACTTGAACCTATTCAGCCTCCACAAGAGAAGGCTGAGGGGGGACCTGGTGACCGTCTATAAACTCACTAGGGGGAACCAGAAGGGTTTGGGGGAGACGCTGTTTCCCCTAGCCCCTGCTGGCATAACAAGGAATAATGGGCACAAGTTGATGGAGAGGAGGTACAGATTGGACATCCGAAAAAACTACTTCACAGTCAGGGCGGCTAGGAGCTGGAACCAACTTCCAAGGGAGGTGGTGCTGGCCCCTACCCTGGGGATCTTTAAGAAGAGGCTGGATACTTACCTGGCTGGACTCATTTGAGTCCCGTTTTTGTTTTTAGGGTGAGTGTTTTTTTGTTTTTTTTTTTTTGGGGTTGTTCTCCCGCCCTGGCCGGGGATTGGGCTAGAAGATCTATTAGGTCCCTTCCGACCCTGAAACTATGAAACTATGACCCAGAATTAAACCAATGGAGTACCATAATTGGGTGAGAAGGATCTTTATAGGCTCTGTGCATAACTTCCCTCTTTCTCCTTTTAATCTGAAATGTGTTTAAACTCTTAATGCCCCTCTTTCCTCACTTACCCAGCCATATACCTATATGGCAAGCGCATCAGATTTGCTAGGCTGTCTAGCCTGGGGTCTCTGGCAGGACTGATGGTTTCTTGATCAGTCGCCTGATCAGCGAAATTCCCTTCCCTACAGGTTTCTTGCCTTCTACCAACATTTGGCACCAAAACTCCCTCTGACCTGGTTCCTTGCATCAGGACTCTTGTCCATCAGTGACTGTTGCAGTTGATGTTATCCAGAACAGGAATGTGCGTGCCCATAGTAGTGGTCATATCTGTCTATGTAGTTCATGTACCTCTGTTGCCATGGGATCATGGAGCTGAACTCTCCATCTCTCTTGAAGTAGGCAAAGGCCCTTTGACACCCGCTTTAATCGATAGAACTACCAGCAAACAAATCTCTTTGGCTGCCTTTTCCTTCCTTAGGTGGGTTAAATGCCAACCTCATGCTGGGCCTCACGTACAACATGTTTGTCCCTGTTTTCCTCTCCTGCTGCTGTTTCGTTGCAGATTGCTGCTGGCTAATAGCATCTGACGGCACTGCTTCCTATTGCCTGGAAAATGTTTAATTTTCCTATTTTCCTTTCTTTCTCTGGCTCTCCCTCTTTTCTCTCATTTTGATCTCTCAAGATTCAGTCCCTTTGAGAAATCAGACAGTATGAAATATGAAAACTGCTTGGGAAGTAATTGGAGAAACGGTGAGACTTATGAAACCCATGGAGATAACGCTCGCACCTACTTATTCACATTATTTAATTTTTAATGGCAAATTTAATTAATGGAGCACAGGTCTTGTGGTTTCATGTGTGAATAAGAAACAGCAGGGATCTGGAAGTCATCAGGTCTATTTACAGGACAGAGAAAAAGGCTCCATTAAAACATGAACTCTCCATCATTGAAAGGAGTAAAATGAGCTTAAAAGCATTAGAAGCTTGACCATTGCATAACAAATAGATGGAAACATTCACGACACCCGCCTGCAAAACACATTTTGAAGTGGTTGCTCATTGTGATTAGTCAGTTTTTAAGCACGATTCTTAGGTCAGAGTGTATGGGAACAAATTCCATTCTGTGCCTCTTTGCATAAATGCAGCTAGTGAAGAAATAACTCAACTCTAGCACCTGTCTGTGGTGCTGTCAAAGCACTTTGCTAATCAAAAGGCTTAGAAAGTTTTAGAAGCCCTTTATGATGAGATAGTGATAACACTATACGTAGAAGGGAAGGTCGAACCCCTGAAAAGTGCTCATGTGTCCAAGGTGGTCTACTCAGCCTTGGTGCCAAGTTTTGGAACATGCCACTCTTTAAGTATCAAAATGAGGCAAGATGGCTGCATTTTTGCACATTGTGACATTGCTCTTAATCCCTCTCTCTCATGTGTGCTCAGCATGGCTCTGGGCTCATTTCCAGGAGTAAGCATGCACACAATGGGAGCACAGGCGGGACAGGCTTCACAGCAGTGCTTCTGGGCTTGGCCGGGGAACAGGGGAAGACAAACCCAGGGAGGTCCAGAGACACAGTAATGCTTCTTCTGAGCCTTATGCCAGTCCCTTTTATAACTGCTGGCTAACCGTTACAGTCTTTTGTATACAGGATCAGGTGCAGTCACAGAGAAGGGGTGGGATGGAGGAGGTGGGGGGAAGCTATAGAGGAGAAGGCTTATGAATGATCTGCATCGAGTGTTCTCAGCATTGAATCGTCTGATCAGGAGAAAGACAGAATGACAGTAAGGTTGGGCCTTGGGGAATATCTACCCTTCTCCCCACCCAAGCCTATTTTAGCAAATCTTTATTTATTTTTTTATTTTTTTAAATAGAGGGGGATGTTGGTTGGTTGTTATAATTTTGCACCTGCTCTTTCAGGCTAATGGAAGTCACCTGCTCTTCATTATATTGCGAAAGTAGTTCACAGTGACTTGAGGAATTTTCCTTAGAGCAAACTACAATTGACAGCAGGGTTGAGATTATGCTTTTTTCCAGTGCTAGCAGCTAGCTTTGATGTTTGAACATCAGTTAACTGCCAGGTCCCCACATCAACTGGAAAACAACTCCAGTGAGGATGGGGAAACTCCTGTGGAAAAGGAGGTTAGTTGAAGTAACAAGCTGTGTTGGTCCCAGAAGCCTGCTCCTCCCCACAGCCCTATATCACTCTGAGAAGTGATGCATTGCTGAAGACCAGGTGTTGTCCCACTGTGATCTGTTGAGAAGTAAATATCTGCTTTAACATTGGCTGAGCCTGAGTTGTCCTAAAGGAGAACATGATATTTCCTGGGTGAGAAATGAATTTTGTTTGTCTCAAAAGTTAATTACAGCCCAGGACAGGGTACATGAAATCCTGATCTTTAGCAGTGAGCGTTATATATTTGGTTTCAGAATGCTGAACTGTACAAGCTGACGTCGGAGCAGTACCATGAGGCGGCCACCAATGCTGAGCATCGGATAAAGTAAGAAGCCATTTTTTTTCTTTGCTTGTATTTTATAGTACCATCTGGACATCCTGGTGGCTGGAGTCTGAGAATACCTTGGGATAAAAATGCCCAGGCTTCTCTACATAATTATTCTTCCTGCCTATGTCAAAAGAGGGTTGAGCCTTGAAACGCAGGGCTTCTTTGAGAAGAAAAATGCGAGCGGGGAGGCTGGCAGCTAGAAAGTCCTAATTGAATTAACAGTTTCCAGACTGGCCATGGTGGGTGTTAGGACTGTTGCATACCTTTTTGCAATGGTTACACCCCAGATGCTATATAGCAATGACCTAGTACAATGGTGCTTGACCTCTGGTCTTCGGGCTGAAACTAGCTCAATAAGCCATGTCATTTGGCACTCGGGGCTCCCTGTGAGTCCAGGAATTTTGCAGTAGGGGTGCAATGGCAGCCTTAATTGCTGTGGCTTCCAGAGCTGTGGCAGTTAACAGTGGCACTGTTCTGGACCTGTGGGGAGTCCTGAGGGCTGGGTGTCATGGTCTCGTACACAGGGCTTAGCCAGCATATGGAGTCTTGCTGTGGCTGGGTCTGACATGCAGGGCTAGGCTGATTTGTGGGGTTGCATGCATGGGCTGACCCTGTGCACCAACCCCATGTTGGGTCTAACCGTGGCATCAGGATTGGTTGTGCTACTTATCTGACCTATGGGGCTGGAAGCTGAGCACCATTGATCTAGTACCTAAGAGCAAGGGAATGAAACTGTTTCGTTGTCCAGACATGAGAAATGTCCAGGATAAATAACTGAACATAGTAAATGTGGTGACAAGCAAATTCCACTGAACATCTAACTTCAGTTATCTTGAACGTTTTTAATAACACTGAAATGCTCTTTGGTTCTAAATGACATTTTTTGGCCTGGCTTAGAGATCTTGTAAAGTAAATGTCCATTCATTTTATCACTGAAATGGTTTTCATGTCTAAACTTTTTTTTTTTTTTTTTTTTTTTTAATGTTCTAGTAGTATTTTCCAGCTTATTATTCAGATGCACTAAGTGCTGTCCAAGAAAAAAAAAACATTTTTGTGAGAATTCTTTATGGTCGCAGAGTCTGCAGTAATTGTACTGTTAAGCAAAGCACTTATAGCTCAGTTTCATAAGTAAGCAGCCAACATGCAATAACTGGAGTAGCAACGTATGCAGTCCATTTGGGCTGGGTCCAGGCTGCACGATGCTTGTCCACATCAATAGATTATACAATAGCAATAAGTATGTAAGTGGAGTGTGTGGTATATTACACCGTGTGTTTCTTTTAGATTATGACTGGCTGCCAATGCATCACATAGCCTGTTATAATTTTGCACTCTTGCTTGGACAGTCAGGCAGTAGGTTGCCATGAAGACCAAAAATCAAGGCAGCTGACAGACTGCCTACATTTTCGGAGGTCTCTCCTTAGTAAAATTTAAGCTGTGTTATTAAAATAAAATTTATAGAGCAGTAATAAAGGCCTGACAGTCTTTTCTTCAGTTGTCTCGGTACAGCAGGGGGTGTTGTATTTTTCTGAGTTTGCTTCCAGAATTGTGTGGCCAGTTGGCAGAGTGTGTATAACAGTGATGCATACATATGTATTAGGACTTTTTTTTAAGCACTGTGTTGAACCTCCTAGTATAATAGCCCTAGGTTGCATTCCCTGGGGTTCATTTGGTCTATCCACTGTTCTTGCTATGCTGCAGGTGTTTCATCTAGTAATGCAGCCTCAGTGTGGAGCAGTTAAGATAATGCAAAGGTATTAAATGATTGTGCTGGGTCTCAGGCAAATGTTGCAGGGTTGTTGAGGTTCCTTTCTCTTTTCTGTATGTCCCCTACTACCAGCCAGTATAACTTATTTTTAACATAGCAACCTGGCCTTTCCTGTAGTACATCCTTCTGAATAGCACACAGGTATCCGCTATTATAAATTGATGCTTCCAGGGGGTTTGAATGGAAGGCTGCCCTCCTGAGATCAGATCTCTTCTTTGGCTCTAATGTGCTATTTCTCTGAGATTCTCATTTCTATCTTTAAAAGGGAGCTTGGAAGTTGGTCTCTTGCAGCTTTGAAAGTTGAGAAGGGGTATGGCTGTGTAGAGCTGGTGATTGAGGGAGAAAGAGTTCCTTGTATTCCCTACTTGTTTTGAGTGGAAGCTCTTAAAACAGGGGTGGGCAATCATTTCTGCTGGAGGGCCACTTAACGAGTTTTGGTGAGCTGTCGAGGGCTGCAAGGGTGGCCCTGCCCCTTGACAAGCACATCTTGAGACCAGACGTCCCACCCCTTAACCACTGACCTTTGCCACCAGAAGTCCCTCCCGTTTCCCCTAGAAGTACTCCTTTTGGGAAGGGGGTTTGCCATCTTGGAACTGGGGAAAAAAAACAAATTCTATTCTAAAAATCAAGCATCCACAATAACATATTTTAATTTATTAAAAAAACATTTTTGTCCTCACTTGTATGCTTGCGTTGTGTATATAGAGGTGATTGCATAATAGCTCAAATGAAGACTTACTCTTGTATATTGTGGGGGATATGGGGGGTATGGATAGGTGGGTATGGTGTTTGTAGGGGGCTGCTGGGGTATGTTGGGGAGGATGTGGGTGTATGTTTGGATGTGGGTGGATATGGACTTTGTCGGGGCAGTGGGGTGTGTGGAAATGGAGGGTGGCTGGTGGGCTGGGTGCATGTAGCAGTGAGCGGGGCTCCCTCCAGAGGCACAGGGGTGGGGGGGTGTGGGGGAGGAGTTTGTGGGTGGGTGCAGTGTTTGTGGGGTGTGATTGTGTGGGGAAGGGTGTGTGTGCGGGGGGTTTGAGGGTATGGTGGGTGTGCATGGCAGCCCCCCATGTGTCCCCCTGAGCCAGTTAGCACCTGCTCCCACTGTGCAACAGCCAAGAGCCTGTGTGCCCTATGGCACCTCCCTGCCACTGCCAACAGTGTGCAGCCCCAGCCAGTGCCACACCTGCTCCGCATTGTCTGGCTGTGGCATGTCCTGCTACCCTTTGGGCATGCAGTGGGCCTGGGGCAGCTCCTTCTGGCTGCCACCACCACTGACCCCAGCTCCACAGTCCCTGCAGGGACCCACGTGCACAGCCTCAACCCAGCATACCCTGCTCCTGCTCTGGACTTGCCCCCCTAGTCTCAGCAGCAGCAGTAGTGCCAGGCAAAAATTGTTGCTTGGCATGGGGGAAAAAGTGGCCCTTCCCTTTGCTACTGCCAGGCAGTTCTTGGAGCAGCTGCTTGGAGCCAGCACTATGCTTGGCTGCCCTGTGGCTCTTCTGTTGTCACTGCCACCTCTGGGCTGCACTGTGTGGCGGTGGTGACAGTGCAGAGCAGCCACAGGGTAGCCCAGGTGGTGGCGGAGCTGCAGAGCAGCCCAGCATGGTGCGGGCTCTGGGCGGCTGGACCAAGAACTGCCTGGCTGGACATTGTACAGATGTGTGAGAGAGGTTTTACCATTCAAGAGTAGGACAGAGCTGTGTGCTTGGGTGGAATGAGGGGAAGTTCCTCCTGACTTTACTGTGGGCTGAAAGGTTATGTGGCAAGGTCCTGTTATCAGGCACTGTTTGTTCATTGCTGAGGAATGCGGAATCTGCTTCCTCTTATCCCTTACCCCAAGGATCCATGTGCTTGGTGAGGAAGAGCCAAGTCGAAGGAGCAAGTCATGATTCATGCTGTGTGATGCCTACAGTTCTTGTCCATCTGCACCTCTGATGGTAGTCCACCAAGCTGGGCAAGTCAAAGGGGCCAGCTGGAGAAACTTAGATAAGAACAGACTGAAACACAAACACGATTATACAGGTTCTGTGCCTGAGTTGGGAATAAAGCTTGGGTTTGCCAGCCCTGTGCTCAGTGTGCATGACCGCAGCGGATCCTGCACCTAGAGGTAACAGGAAGTGGGGTTCTCCTTGGCTTGGAGAGGAGCTCTGTTCCCATTCTGTGAGCTCTTTGTTCATCCTGCACCAGTCTGCGCTCCTGGTGCGATGCTAGACTGTGCCTTTTCTATTCACTGAGACCAAGTTGCCCACGGTTTGTTCACCTTTTATGAGGCACCTTGCTGGAATTTGTGTCGTCTTACATATGGTAGGGTGGGGATGAAACTGGTGCGTCTCTCCTAGTGAGAGAGCTCTGCTTTTTGTAGCTTGTACACAGCATGGGGAGAGAAGCATGAAGCATTGGCACAGCTTCCTCAGCACTTCCTGGCTTTTGCAGTGTCCCTTTCCCCTTTGCTCTCCTGTCATTTTTACTGCCTGCAGCTCTGTGCAGCTGGTCAAGGGGTTTCCTTAGTATTTACGCAGCAGTTCACATATTCACAGTGCTGTACAGGGACCTTCACCAAGGAATCTTCAGTGCATGAGAGAGGTAGGTAGGTCAGCCTCAGTATGTCCCTTGTACAGAGGAGAGATGCGACTTAGGCCACACAGTGGGCCCATGACAGAAGCATCTGCTGTTGCTTACTGTTGGGGACAGGATGCTAGGCTCAGTGTTGATGTCTGACCCTGTGTCACAGGCCTGACCACTCATCTGAGCTTAGCCCTTGCCTGTTCTGCAGTATCTCAAGAAGTTGGCCCTTCCTCTTGTTTGTCCTGAATTGGATCCAGCTTTTATCTTTTGCCCAGGAAGAACATTCCTAGCAACAGGAAGCCACTGAAGATGGGTAGCTCTTGGCACCTTCAGTCGTGTGCCCTGGTTACTTGCATGCTATGGTGGCTTGGAGAACTGCCACGGACACAATGTCTCTCTAATGTTATTATAATTGCTGCCTTTTTATTTATTTATTTATTTATTTATCTTTTCTTTGGTTAACCAGTGGAATTAGTTTGGGGCCCTAGAACTTTTTTTCCTTCCCTTTTGGTGTTTAGCAAACTGTGCACATCAGTAGCCACCCACAAAAGAAGCAGCCTGTAAATAAAAGGCCAGTGCTCCCCACCCTTCACTTTGCTCCACGTCCTTTTCTCAGTGCTCAGGGAGCCATGACTCAGACTGGGTTTAGAGAAGACAACTT